TTTTTGTTTTTTTTTTCAGTTTTTGATTTTGTGTTTAAATGAATAATGGAAAAAAACGGATAACGGCCGTTTCCTGTTTTCTGTTGATGCTGGACTTTTGCACCACATATGGACTGAACCAGAACTGAACCAGGACTAAACCGTTTTCAGTCCTGGTCTGGTCCCGGTCTCAGTCTCGGTCTGGTTCCGGTCTGGTCCCGGTCTCAGTCCCAATCTCCATCAAGGTCTGGTCCTGGTCTGGTCCCGGCCTCAGTCCGGGTCTCAGTTCCAGTCTGGTCCCGGTCTCAGTCCTGGTCCTGTTCCCGGTCTCAGTCCTGGTCTCAGTTCTGGTCTGATCCCGGTCTAAGTCCTGGTCTCAGTTCCAACCTGGTTTCGATCTGGTTCCGGACCTGTTTTCGTCCTGGTTCAGTCCTGGTTCAGTCCGTATGCAGCGCAAAAGTCCGGCATCGCAGTTTAAGTCACGAAAACGGGAAACGACTGTTATCTGTTATATTTTTTCCATTATTCATTTCAATACAAAATCAAAAACTGAAAAAACAAATCGTTATCCGCTTTTTTCATTTTGGTTTTGGAGACAAATAATGAAGAAAATAGTTGTTTTTTTCTTATTTTTGGTTTTATATTGAAAACGAATGAACGAATGATACATGGATTTTAAGCTCCCTTCCACGTCATTCTACCTTTTAGAACTTATTGGTATTCAGTATTTATCAAAGTCTAAATATCTTAAATATACTATTAAATTGTCAAATTTTTAAATAACGTTTTCCACCTTTTAGGCACTCGTCAAGGGACCACTCAGCCATACACACAATACATTCATACACCAGCGTAAACAGCCACAGGGGTTAAATGTCTTACCCAAGAAGGACTAGAGGTATTGACCTGAAATAGTATCAGCCTAGTAGTATATGTCACAAGAAAACCAGAAGCGCATCTTGCCCCTGGTTATTTTTATTGCTGTAGTAATTCCAAGGGTGGATGTTGCTCCCCACGCTAAGATAATCAAAATATGTCATTATGATCCAATATGGACGGGGAAAATGAAGCCCCATCTGGTAGAGTAAGCAGGATGGAGAAATTGAAATCCTCGCACCAGCTCGGCAATAAAACTGGCACCCTGCTGATCGTGGCTATGTTATACACAGGCTAGTATCGCATCCATTGCACTACAAACATTCTGTACTATCCTTATGCTTTTTGGGGGGTATTTAGTATTAAATTATAACTTACATATAACCTTATTTTACATTTTGTTGATGTTATTGAGGGTTTTTGATGCTTAATAATACGTGGATCCCGAATTTCAGACTTTCAGTCATCGTGCAATGCATACTGGGAAGGATCCTCTGAAAAACTGAGCATCAAATCGCCATGTTTGATTTCCCAGTGGGAGGCGTCAATTGCCAAAGCCAGACTTTTCAAGTCTTTTGAACTATATCGCTTTTGTTTCTGGTTCTGATATTGTCATATTTTAGTTATGGGATTTGGACATTGCAATTGTGTGGTTGTTGAATGTTCTAGGAAAACGGCTCGAGAAATGGGCTTTGAAAGTTTGCGAGCTCCGTAACTGTAAAAGAGAATCAGATTTGTCTGACTTCAAACCTCCATTCAAACTGTTTCCCTTCCCAACGGAATTGAAAAATAATGAAAGGCGAAGGCGATGGGCAGTACTGATACACAGGAAGGACCTTTGGCTGCCTCAGAAATCATCCAGAATTTGCAGCCAACATTTTGTATGAGGAGAGCCATCAAAGCAAAATCTTGATCCCTCTCTCAACCTTGGTTATGAATTTAAAAAGTCAACGCCAACACAAAAGGCACCAAGAAACACCTTCTTCCGCTGCAAAGCGACCAATATGTGATGTTGCTGTAACGCGAGTCGAACAAGAAAGTGCAAGCTCAGTCTGTTTGTCTTCTGTGCCTCTCGCTTAACAAATGGGATTTTGGTTTAACGGTGCTCGATATACAAAATGTTCACTGCAAACTCGGGACGATTTCTTAGGCAGCCAAAGGTTACCTTTTTCGCCCTTCCTGTGTATCAATACTGCCCACCGCCTTCGCCTTTCACTATTTTTCACTTCCGTTGGGAAGGGAAACAGTTTGAATGGAGGTTTGCCGTCACACATATCTGATTCCCTTTTGCAGTTATGGAGTTCGCAAACTTCCAAAGCCCATTTTCCGCTGTTAGGTCATCCAACAACCACACAATTATGTCCGAATCCCATAACTAAAATATGACAATATTAGAACCAGAAACAAAAGGGATATGGTTCAGAAGACTTGAAAAGATTGGCTTTGACAATAGATGCATCCCACTGGGAAAACAAACATGGTGGTATGATGCTCACTTTTTCAGAGGATCCTTCCCAGTATGCATTGTGCTGAGATGAGGCCCTATGTTCAAAATTGTAAACTGTCCTTTTATTAATATACCAATCACGGTTAGGATGAGATTAGGATTAGGAAACAAACTTGTTGCGGAACCGACTCACCCACACTCTCTCCTTCCTCAACGGTAAACTTCAGCGGGCTGATGTACACAGGTAGGAGCACGTGCGCGTGCCTCTCTGTATTTTGGCGTGTCGGTGTGCACGTGGGCCCTGCAGTGTGTGTGGGGGTGTGTGTGTGGGGTGTGTGTGTGTGTGTGTGTGGGGTGTGTGGGGGGTGTGTGTGGGTGTGTGTGGGGTGTGTGTGTGTGTGTGGGGGGGGGTCTCCCATCCCAGTACACCGGTGAACAGAAGTGGAGGAGATGCAGGGACTCGGGGGGCTCAGTGCATGCAGACGACTTGATTAAAGAGCAATTGCAGCCCCCGCAGTGCAGCAAAGACTGGAATAATCACTGAGAGAAAATACACACCATTTTTGCTGGCACACATCTCATGCTTTCTGCAGATTATGACAGTTCTGAAAGGGTAGAGTCAGAAGAGGTCCTAAAGGTCCCATATTCCACAAAAATTGACTCTTGTGAGCCTTAAGTCATTTTAGAATGTTACCTTCTCAAAAAACATACCAGGAGTTGTGTTCTGTTTTCATTCACACGTTTGAGTTGCCTTACCTTTATTATTAGGTCTAAATACATCACCTTTTTCAGTAGAGATTGCCAATCCCAGGGCTGAAATTCAAATTAGCCTGGTGAAGGTGAAATGGAGCACTTCCTGTGACATTACAAAGTGGAACAGAATATGTTCCATTTGAGGGAAGAGCTTATCTTAAATGATAGACTATATATAAATGGACAGCGCTAACCTACTAGCTGGTGTGTTCCAAATAAGAAGTGAACTGGAGGGCACTTCCGGCTCCATCAATTTTAGCTGACTTTATAAAGTTTATATTGAAACCCCTCTCTCTGTAACTGCTGTGAGCCTCATCATTTGGTGTTTGTATTAACCTGCTCTAAATGATCCTGGTGCTTTTATTTCGCTATTTTGTCCATAAATAAATTCTATTCCTAATAGAGAACTCGACTCCAAATTTGCTCCTATAATTGCAAGCATCATGAGCTTCATTTGACTGGAGCCGAACGCTATGGGTGACATCACACTCACTTCTTTATACAATCTTTGGCTTATGTAAGCAGGACCTGTGCGTTAAACATGTGTAAATGAAACAAAACAAACAAAAACAACTCCAGGCATGTTTTTGATGAGGAAAGAATATCAAAACATCAATCAGAAAATAAAAAAGGCCCTTTAAAGAAGACTGAAGAGGGCGGGAGGTGAGTGCGTCGATTCCGAGTGAGGATGGAGTGGATCGCGGTGCCATGCGCTTGTATAACTAGCCCTAATCAGCCCTGTGTTCAGAGGGAGCGAAGAAAAGAATTTGTAATGTGGAAAACAAACAGCTCCAAACATAATAATAACAAGCACACTCACAGAGATGCCCTCTGCTGTTTTGTTTGTGCGCTGTGTAAAAGGCCAGCACTTTCCAATGGGCTCCTTCAAAGTAATTCTTGGCAAGACATACAAAGCTATTATAACTGTTATGTTCAATCCTGCAGTTTGGGCTATTTGTCAAGCCCAGTAGTAAGTGTTTTGTGTGTGTGTGTGTGTGTGTGTGTGTAAAATTGATCGGCATTCATCTCGTTACTTCTTTGTATCAAGGTTATTAGCAAGTAGCTGTGGGTACGGGGTGGGGAACAGACTGCAGCAGTGCCACCAGTTGACTGTGATACAAAGTTAAGTCAAAATGATTGTAGTATTAGGAATGGGCGATATACCGGTTCCAGTATCAGCCAAATTCTGTGTGCCCTTTTTGAGCAGACTAATGAGTCAAAATGGAAATAGAAGAGCGTTACATTGCTGTGTGTTTATACAAATATGTAATTCATTATTTTATCTGTTAGTAAAATGCATTTTAATTTTAATTTGTGATTGTTAGTTGAACTTTTAAATGTGAAATACTGGTATCAGCAAATATCAGTTCATATTGAACCATCTCCCTGTAGTATAAACAAATTATTGCATGACATAGAACAATGGGGGATACTTGAGATAACTAGTTTGGAATGAAGAGCAGTCAACATTTAAAAAGAAAAATGATCGGCCTGAACGGTAATATGCTTGCCAGTTTTTACCAGATTTAAAAGGACAGCTCTAAATGCGTCCCACATGATCTGGTTCACATTCAAGTCAAAAATGTAGCCAAGAAAGTCCTGTGTTTTAGTCTAATCCTCCACTTAAAAACTCCCTACAGAGAAAGAATATCTTATCCTGAACTGTCCAAAACCAAATCTGACAACATTTTCAATCATCTATGCACAAATACTGAGAACAAAGAGTAGACAAAGATAATGCATATGTATTAACTTACAATGCACAACAGATAAGCACGTACAATAGGACAGGATAAGAGGCTTTACAATGATATTTTCATAGAATGAAAGGAATGCACAAGAATAATATATTCCAATATGAATCAGCAGACAACATTACATGTGGAGAGTGTTAAGGAGAAGTGCACCTCAAAACAATCTCATGATATGGACCCTGGGGCAGTAACACAATAACATAGCACAGACACATGATCTCATTAACAATACAGACTGTAATAACTTAAATAAAGGTGTATGGCACCAAAACCCTTTCACAACATATTAGGAAAGTCCGTCCTCTACTGTCATGAATGGCTTGTTTTAGAGGGTTCAATAGGAACATATTTAAAAGGGCTTACTATACGTAGAAACATTGTGTCCGACTCTGACATATCGATTTTTCTATTCCAGTGCAATGTCTTTCAAAAGTGAGCACCAGCAGCCATTTTGCTTTTCTTAGCAGAAAGTCTATGTGGTCTCTCTCCTTCTAAAAAATGGATTAGTCAAGTATTCCAGGAAGAACACAGCTGTGAGACAGTCCTGTGCTGTGGGTCTGATCCACTGTTCAGAGCGGGGATGATGCTTGGGCAGCAGCTGCTCTCTGTCACTGTGTGCTAGTGTCGTTTGCTGGAGCATGACTTGCAGCACTGCTGTCCATAAAACTTGTGGTTACATACGCCGTGTTGAGGAACCAAGTGGCACCAGCTGAACAGGTCCACACAGTGTTCATCTGCAAAGAGGCAGGGTGATTGATTAGTAAAATAAGATATTTGTGTGGTTTACAAGTTAGGAGGAAAGAAGACATTGTCACAGGCCCTGTACCTGAGTAAAATTAGTCTCAGTACAGATATATTATATAATCACTTGTGGAGGCCAAAATATGTCTGCTGTGTGCTGTCTGCAACTAATTATAAAGTGTTTTATTGTCCAATAATCAGGAAGTGTGCTGTTAGTGCAACCATGGACTGTATAAACTTCACTCAAATTAAGCTCTTGATGCTAGCGGTTACAGGGGTGAATTTGGAGCCAGGCTCCAAATTATGAATACGATTTTTCTAACGACCAAAATAGCAAAATAAAAACACAAGGATCATGTAATGTAGTGCGGATTCTAACGAACATTTTAAGACCAAAATAACCAGGGTCACTGCAATTACAGAGAGAGAGGCGATAATATTCCAATGTACTGGTAAGTCAATGGGAACCAGGGTCAGTAGGAGCCGAAGCAAGCGCCCATATGTGAACTTCCTATTTAGAACACGCCAGCTAGCACGCTAGCTATGTCCACTCATACATGCAGTCTATCAGTATAACATTATATTTTGTCATATATGTCAGTACAGTACAGAAGTACAATAGCAAAGCTGTAGAGTCAGTCAAAGTCCAATTGATTCTGAGAGGTTACCTTTGCGAGGAGGAGCGGCTGCAGTGACCCACGGGGGCCTGTGTCCGGGCATAGGGGGCACAGCGGGGCAGAAGTGAGTGTTGCAGGCTCTGGAAGTGACCGGTCTCTGGTGAGGCAGGCAGCCAGCTGTGGGCCGACCCTGGCGCAGACACTGGACCAGTCGAGTCTGGACCCCTCCACCACATGACACAGAGCACTGAGAGAGCAGAGAGGAGAGAGAAAGGCTTTTAAAGCAAGGATATAATACACTAATATGCTGCATGGGGACATTACATTGATTTACATTCATTTTCAAGCTGGGGTACCTGACTTTTTTTTTCTTTTGGAAAAGAGCAAATTTTGTGTTTCCAACAAATAGTATATTGTAAAAGTAGCACTGGCAACACAGGTAAAATGAGTGATGCCTGCTATGTACAGCTAAATATAATAGTAGTAATAGTATAATATTATAATAGTATTTTTATTTCTTGGTCACCAGTAAGTAGTGCTCTGATTGGCTGCACTTAGGCAGTCCACCGCGGTTTCAAAATGCTGTCTGAAAAAGCTGTTAAAAGCCAAGTACAGACCCAAAAATGAATAGATGGATATACTGGCTCTACTGGATTATATTTAGTGAAAAGCAGGTACCCCCATTTTAATTTAACCATAGTCACTACTTGGGGTTCTGTCACCTGCTTGGTTCTACTGATATGTCTGCCTTACATTTATTCAATTACAAGTGTTTTTTATTGCTCAAAAATACATAAAAAACATTCTGACTGTGAGAAGGGTTGCCTCTCCATAGACCTGACTTGTAGTTTGGTCTGGTTTGGAAAGGTTTAACACTATACTGTGAACCATTCTAGACAAAGCAATAGCATCTCCATGGAGAAAAATATTTGACGAACCGTCCACCAGAAAAGTCACACAATGTACCTTTAACCCGGTAAACACAAACCTGAGCCTATTTTAAACCACATCAGAACCTAGATTTTAGAACAATGTTGCTGAAAAATAAAATATATATTCCATCATTTGTGCCCATATACAGTAGGAGGTTGATCCCCATGATGCAAGCATGCACAGTACATACAGTCTCCACGACGTGATAAATACCCGCCCAGAGAAACAAGGAACAAGTCCAAGCTAAGACAAAGAACACGCGTATACAGCAAACATCCCATGGAGCGTGGTTGTGCCCTCCAGCGACCTGTCAGGAGAGATCTAGTGCAGGGTGAGCAGACAGATCACAAGCTCCAGATCAAGCAGGATGTGGCTGTGTGCTGTAAGAGGGTGCCCTTAAGACTCATTGCATAAAATATGGTATAACACACACTACACGCTGCCTGTCCCAATAGGCTACACCAGATAGGAGCCTAACATAGCATTTGATTCAGACAGGCTAGAGGAAGAAAAAGCTTGTGTCTCTGAGTTTGAGTTAGGGTTGCAAGAAATCAGAGTTTGAATGGATGCAGAAGACCTCTTAACAATTCATGTCAGAGCCTATTTATAATTTTCTGATCTATGTTTTAATGTTGTTTCCTGGGTTGTGTTTTGTTTCCTTCACACATGTTTAACACACAAACCCTGCATATTTAGGCTAAGTTCTTCACTCAAACTGAAAACTCTGTTCCACCTTGTAATGTCATATGAAGTATTCCACTGTGTTTTTAAACTCCATACACCTTCACTAAAACCATTTGGATGATTTCAGCCCTGTAATTTTCAATCTCTAAGGAACAAAAGTTAAAAGGTAGCTGTTAATTTGACAGCTATATGACATCACAAGGTGAAACTGCATTTTTAAGATTTAGAGATGTAGTCTAGCCTGTTTCATCAGCCGGTTCCACTTTATGGAAACCATCTGACTTCGCAGCATTAGAATTTGTTCACTCGATGGTAGGCAGGTACTTTCTTTTATTTAACCAATCGCTGCTATTTGGTTGGTATATAATGTGTCGCTAATGGGGCAAACCGGTATATTAAGTTTTTCCCAAATCCTGTAGGGAGAAGGGCAATAATGTCTTTCCTCTTGATAAAATTCCACAAACATTCTCTCTGTTCCAGCTTTAAATCCTCAATCTCAGGAATTGTTGACAACACAGAATGTATTGCTCTTCGCTGATTGGTTGGTGCCCGGATTCGCACTTCCGGGGTTTTTGCAAACCATCTAGTGTATTCCGATTCCTGACTTAGTCGCTGGAGAGAAATGAAATAGAGCGGAGGCACTAGGTGGTGCCAGCCTGGCTAGATGTAGACAACCTAATAATGCAAGATTACTCAAACATGTTAGAGCAAAACAAAACACAACTCCAGGTATGTTTTGAGAAAGTAACATTATATCAACAAAAAAGCTTAATTTTATGTAATTTTATGTGTGAGACTTTTTTAACAGCACAAATCAGCTCATCTGTTGTAGTTGTATCTAAATCAGTCATATATGGTCAGATTAACATAAAGCACTGAGTAAAGCCTCAGACAGACCAGAGCCTACAGTTAGCATCACACCCCAGGGAGTGTTGATATTCAGCCCTAGGATGGTTTAGCACGTCTCCTCTGCTCCTCTGTCTGCTTTATGGGGAAACAACCACAAAGGAGCTCTAAAGCTAGCTCTGTTCATTTGTTTTGTGCTGATAAAACTTTCACTCTGCCAGCTCTCCAGAGGTAAAAGTATATAAAAACGAGTGAAATTATCACCTCAGCTAATTAAATAGAAATATTCTGGTTATAAATATCCAATTTTTACAGTGAATGTGTATGTCTTCATATATTGTAGCTTCTATAAAATAAGATTAAATTTACTGAAGAAAATATATTATGCTTTTGTCTGCAATATATGTCTGCTATATAAATGTCTGTTATATATGCAGTTATATTTTATGAAACCTGTGGGTAATTAAAGGTGCATTGTGTAACTTTTCTGGTGGAGTGTCTGTCAAATGCGTTTCTTATTGCTGTGTCTGAGATGTGATTATGATTATGGTATTAAACCTTTCTTTCTTCATGGAGACCAAACCGGACCAAGTTACAGGTCAGATCTGTGGAGAGGCAACTCCGTTAACAGTCAGAATGCCTGTTTTTGTATTTTTAAGCTATAAAACCACCTGTAATCAGTGTTGGGAGTAACGTGTTATATAAAGTAACTAATGACTGTAATGCATTGCTTTTTGCTGTAATGCAGTAATGTAAGGCTGTAATGCCTTACATTACTGCATTAAAAAATGTAATATTTTTCTCGGTACAAATGTCAATAATGCACGTTACAATGCTTTTCTAACCTGAATTGAAGTGGTGGGTTTTTTCGTTTTTTTCTTCATACAAATTCGCTAAAATCACAGCGTTATCAGCAGCCGTGAAAGGCCATCGTTACAATTCCGACTGTCGGAATGGGCCCGGAGGTGCATCCCCATAGACTGTCGGGTAACCGCAGGCAAATGGACCGGCGCCGAGCTCCACGATGCGCGGGGCAAATCGCAGATGACACCTGATCGTGCTTTGCGGACACCCTGCATCACAGGCTCAGGGTTCACTCAGGATTATTCCTGGTTTAGTCCTGGTTTAGTTGAGGTTCAGTTCTGGTTTAGACCTGGCTCAGTCCTGGTTCAGTTCTGGTTTAGTCCTTGTTTACTCCTAGTTCAGTCCTGGTTCAGCTCTGGTTTAGTCTGGTTTAGTCCTGGTTTAGTCCTGGTTCAGCCCTCCTGGTTCAGTCCTCGGTGCAGTCCTGATTTAGTCCTGGTTCAGTCCATATAGGGTGCAAAAGTTCGGCATCTTCTCACAGTTATTTTGGTGAGAGTAACTGAAAAGTAATGCAACAGTAGTGTAATGCCTGCCATTTTAAATGCAATAATATTGTAATATAATGAATTCCTTTGGAATGACAGTAACAAGAAACACATAATGTGAGTAAATGTTAGGTAGAGCTGTTTAATGTCATACTGTGGAACATTCCAGGCAGAGCAGTGACATATCCATAGAAACACGCAGGTGATGGAACCCCAACCAAAAAATTACATAGTGAAAGAAAAAAATTGCAGACATAAAGAAGTGCTTAGACTGAGAAAAACTGTACAAAATAAAGTTTGCACTACTCCAATCAATATTCACATGCTAAATTTAACCAGAGCAGTACCTGTTGCCATGGAGAGGACCATCCGGAGACCATGGTGCTGGATGGGGGTCTGCCTGGACTGATGTGGGGCGGCTCAGGGCAGGCTCCACGGTTACAGGGCTGCTGGAGGTCAAGCAGGGGTTTGGCCATGTTCCTGCACCGTCGAGAGGGGAGCTCCACAAACCTGTCCAAGAGCAAGGTCTTAATGAAACAACTTCAAAATAAAAAGATAAAAAGACTCAAGTCCTGACGGAAGCCAAAGCTTTGATATTTGTTAGAGAGTTCTTAAAACCTCCATACCCTCCACGAGTGTCTCTCTCCCCACATTGCAGCTCTCGCTTCTGGACCCCAGAGCCACACGACCTGGAGCACTGAAACAGCAGTGGCACAAGAGTCAGTGATAGAATACTTTACACTTTATATGTTACATCGTAATACAAAGAGTGCTCAAGGCTGTGGCATTAAAGCACTACAACTATTACAAAGAAAGAAGCCAGTGATAGTTAGATCCTTTTTTTGTTTTGTTTTTTTACTATTTTTGGAGGGCTGTTCTTAAACTGAAGATGCAATCAAGCTCAATGCAACTTTATGTGTAGAGCACTTTAAAAACAATAGAGTCGAACAAAGTGCTTAAAGTGCCTATGACAGTTTGAATTACTCATTTTACTAAAACACAGTTAGGATAATTATATTTTAAGGTTTTGCTGAGAGTTACAAATTACCAAATTACCAGCTTTGATGATAGTTTTCATTTTTATAATTTTACTTTCTGAAAATGCAGTCAAGCACAATGCAACTTTATTTGTAAAGCACTTTAAAAATAACAGGGTCGACCAAAGTGCTTAAAGTGCCTTTGACAGTTTGAATTACTCATTTTACTAAAAAACAGTTACGCTAATTTTATTTTAAAAATGTTATGGGTTACCAAATTACCAGGTCTGATGAGCATTTTAATTTTTATAATTTTATTTCCTGATTGAAAGTCATGACATCACACCAGGGAATTCCATAATTGTCACCTAGCAACCACGGGCCAAAACTAGCCTAATGTTCACTGAAATTATTCTTTGTGAAATAAAAAAATATATATAACACACCTTCATTTTACTGAATAAATGTTTCAAGGGTCAGTTGTGTTCTTGGGCAAAAATTGTGGCAACATTTTGGATGAAATTCTAAGTCTCTCCGTAGTGTGCGTTTTAAAACTCTGCTCTATTTCCTGTTATTTTCAGCATATTTTATCTTTACGTTTAACTCGTGTCTGTCATTTATATCTTAATTCAATAGATATGATCCCACCAAATTAAGTCAAAACTGCTTAATCATAAAATCCTGCCTTATGCACTTGATGAGCACAAGACAATGTAAAATTTGTGAAATATAAAAACCTTGTGCATAACTGCGTCAGTGCTTGATTACTGAAGCAGTCATTCGTACTATTTAAAGAGCCCATATTATGCTATTTCTGATCTGTGTTATAATGTTGTTTCCTCATCAAAAACATACCTGGAGTTGTGTTTTGTTTCATTCACACATGTTTAACACATAAACCCTACATATTTAGGCTGGTTCCTCTCTCAAACGGAAAACAGTCTGGTCCACCTTGTGATGTAATGTAGTAATACAGGAAGCTCCTCTGTATTTTAAACTTTATAAACCTTCACTAGAATCATTTTGATGATTTCAGCCTTGGAGTTGCCAATCTCTACTGAAACTAAAGGTGAAAGGTAGCTGTTAAGTTGAAAACTACCCAAGGTGGAACAGAGCATTTTGAACTTTTAAGATGTACATGAACTAATAAAGGGTTACTCAAACATATATGAATGAAACAAAACACAACTCCAGGTATGTTTTTTTTGATGAGGTAACAACATTCTAACATGACTTAAAGAGTTTTGCATAATATAGGACTTTTAAAACCTGTGCTTCCTTTGTTCTAAATCACCTGAGTGTAGAGAGTTTAGGGAGAAACAAATCTTACACTATATTTGCTATAGGGGACTCCATTTTCCAGTGGAGTGTGTGTGTTCCTTACCTCTCCCCAGGTAGTCGGGGTCCACAGCAGCCTGTCACTCTTGGGGCATCGCCGCAGGACACAGATCTCTTGGGCTTTAGGTCTGTGATGCTGTCTGCACATACTGTCAGGAACCACCACCGCAGAGGCTCCAGGATCTGTGCTCCGACAGAACACACTTCTCTTCCTCATACCTCGACCACACGTCTTGGAGCACTGTGGGTCAAGCAAAAAAACTGTTATTTTATGAAACATAATGACTCAGCCACTGTGATTATTGTTGGGTTTTAGACAACATTCGATAGACCAAGACGTTTTAAAGGTGCACTGGGTATCTTTTCTGGTGGAGCTTTTCTTTATGGAGATGTTATTGCTTTGTCTGAAATGTTTCACAGTATGGTATTAAAGCTTTCTATCTTCCTGGAGACCAAACCAGATCAAGTTACAGGTTAGATCTGTGGAGAGGTAATCCAACTCACTGAACAGATGTTTTGTTCTGTTCAGTGCACCTTTAAAGAAAATCAGCCCAGGACATTAAAGTGGAACTAAACACTGAATCAAAAGCTTTTATTACTAAAATGTATATATAGTGTTTGAATAGCATTGTCTGCTGTTCCTAGTGCTATTTGGGGGAGCAATTTTAGAGCAATCTATGCAAATTTGAAGCTTTGTTTAAAAAAAAAAAACCTAACCCTGGTACAGATATATTGCAAAAGCAGCTATTAGGATCATTTTGAGATTGCTATGAGCTGTCTGCATCTATAATAAAATGTTTATTACCTGAGAACCAGGAAGTGTGCGCATGCTAGTTGTTTTGTTTTTACAAGTAACAGCAAAACACCACTCTCTGAATGTTGTGAAAAACACTTTAACTCATCACAGTGAACATAATTTTTTAAATGAAACAGTTCTGTTTTTAAGACAGTAAAATATCAGGCCCAAATCATGTACAGTTGCTTTAAGTAGAGTGACATTTAGCAAACTGCATGAACCATCATTTCACAGCATTTGCAGCACAGAGTCTGGTAGAAGCCCTGCAGAAAATCCAATTGACAACGTCTTTATTTAGTGGGAAAAAAATCTGCAAACTTCACACAAAGAGCCTGTCCAGTTGGGGATTCAAATGCTAGACCTATTTGCGGTGAGGTGTGTACTAACCACTGCACCTATTTATTTAAAGACCTACCTCCCCTAGTCACATAGAATAAATATGTGTGCTCACTTAAAGGTGCACTGTGAAACTTTTCCGTGGAGGGTCCATCAAATGCTTTTCTCCATGGAAATGTTATTGCTTTGTTTGGAATGTTTCACAGCATGGCATTAAACATTTCTATCTTCATATATCTTCAGGAAGACCAAACTAGTCCAAGTTACAGGTCATATCCGTGGGGAGGCAACCCTGCTTACCATCAGAATGCCTGTTTTCTAGGAATTTTTCAGCAATAAAAAAATGTTAACTCTAATTGAATAAATGTAAGACAGGGATGTTTAATGTCATACTGTGGAACATCTCCATAGAAACAAGCAGATGACGGACCCTATATCAGTAAAGTTATGTTATGCATCTCTATCATGATATGCAAAAATGTAACTGCCACTAAACGCATTTTAACACCTACATTCATTCCCCGTGATCACTTTAACCTTGAGCTGTTATCAGTGCGGCCCCCCACAGACATTAACAGGGGGCACATCCTTGGCAGGGCTGCTGCACATGCATTTGTTTATAGTACGCATGGTGGGCAAACAAACAGAAGGTCGAGGGTTTGATGACAGCCCATTATGGCCTGACGTAAATACAATAATCCAATCACTCAAAGTTAGATCTGACCTCGACCTATCAGTAACAGAGCGGCTATAAACTCCACATGAAGTGCCCAGAGCAGAGGGACATGGAGTCAAGCGGGCTCAGTGGGAGTGACCGGCAGTCGCCCCTTTCTCATTTACTAGTCTAAAGATACGCTGCATCTGTGCTCATTCATTTACATAGACCATAGAGTCCGGCTGCCTCTCTCATAGTGTTGTCACGATACTATAATTTCAAACCTGATTTTGATATTAAAGGACCTATTTTAAGCTTTTTTTTTGATCTGTTATGTTTTCTAATCTGGAGTTGTGTTTTGTTTCATTCGCACTTTTAACACAAACTTGACATAGTAAGTCTGAGTTCTTCTCTCAAACTGAAAACACTCTCTTCCACCTTGTGATGTCATGTGGTAATACAAGTGTGTCACTGTGTTTTAAACTCAGCCCTAGAAATGTCAATCTCTACTGAACTAAAGTAAAAGGTGAAAAATACCACTTCATGACATCACAAGGTGGAACAAAGCATTTTAAGCTCTGGAGATGTAGACAATCTAATAATAAAGGATTACTCTATCAGGTGTGAATGAACAAAACACAACTCCAGGTATGTTTTTGAGGCAATACAATATTATAACATGGCCTAAAGCTCACAAGAGTCAATTTTGCGCAATATAGGACCTTTAAGGAATAGACGTGATGCTCACTCTTCATTTAATCATAATTTGCATTAATTAACTATTTAGACAACAGAGTGCCATTTTCAACATTAAATCGTAGTACTTTCTTTTATATTATGTGGCCTTATATTTATGTAATCCCTCAGTCTTCCAGGTATAGTGGTCCATGAGCATATGGACTAGTCTAGTATGCGGTCTTATACTTGCTCTGTTACAGCTCAAAATCATTCTAAAGTGATTCAGGAAAGGTTCATTTCTGTCCTGCGAATGCAATTTTTTTAGTATCAGTACTTGCTCAAATGAGTATCCAATTAGTTTTAGTATTGATCAGTATCTGATTTTCAATACTTTTGACAAGTCTACTCCCTCATGAACTCAACAGAGTGGTTGTTGCTGTCATCGGTAGCGATAACGCAATATAAAAAGTTAGTGTTACAATTTAGAGCTGCAAAGATTACAGTAGTATTTTTTTTAATTTTTTTTTATTTTAGTAATTGACTAGTCAGGGATTCATTTTTCAATCACTTAACTAGTCAAACGATGATTGCTATTGCACATTTTTTAGCATTCATTTTTCGCTCTTTAGCTCACTGTGGCTTGAATAATCACCATTTTGGATAGACCTCATAACCTTGACATCTCTAGTCTAAAGATATGACACATCTGCTCTCTCATTTACATAGACCATAGTGTTGGGCTGGCTCCCTCATGGGCTCATCAGAGTGGTCCTTTTGTCACCGTGGACGTCTGATTGATTTGTTCTGGGGGACCTTGTCAGGACATGACCGCTGCCTGAACTTGGTCGGTCGCTACAAAATGGTGGCAGGCAGCTTATACAGAGGGAAAGCCAGAGCCAGAGCCAGAGCCACAGTTGAACATGAGGGAGAGTTGGGCAGGTGGTTCACATCGACCAGTGCGTGTGAAAAGAGGCCAACAAAGGGAAAGGTATCCATTTTTTTTTATTTAATTTGGGAATGTGTGTTATTACTTATTGAAAACTATAAAAATCAAACATTACTCGCTACTACTTTTGATTATTAAAATTAGAGAGTTATGTTAAAGGGACCATATTATAATTTTATGTTACAATGTTCCCTCATCACAAACAAACCTGGAGTTGCTGTTTTGTGTCATTCACACATGTTATAAAGCCTGTATATTTAGGGTGAGTTCTTCTTTCCAACTGCTCCACGTTATGATGTCATGTGGTAAAACAGGAAGTGTGTTTTTAAACTCCTTAAACCCTCACTAGAATCATAAGGATAATTTCAGCCCTGGAATTGCCAAGCTACTGAATTAAAGGTAAAATGTAGCTGGTAACTTGAAAGCTACCGCTTCATGACACCATAAGGTGGAATTGAGGATTCTGAGCATAGAAGATGAAGACTGAGGAGGTAACAATATTATAAAATGTTTTAAATCTTACAAGAGTCAAGTTTGCGTAATATAGGACCTTTAAAGTTAAGTTAACTTTTTCTGATCGAGAGTATGCCACCTTCTGATCTACCAAAACAAAAAAACTGCATTAAAAACATGCATTCTTAATCGCCTCACCACAGATCTGACATGTACCTTGACCTGATGCTGTCACCTTGGCAAAGCAAAAGCAGTAGCCGCTTTGATGAAGACTTTGAGAAAATCTATATTTCAATCGCACTTGCAATGCAAATCAATTTATTTTATTTTCTCCCAAAAAGTTCAATATATTGGTTTACTTAGTATGAGAAGAGGAGTCTGTTTAAGTAATTTTGTGCTAGTTTGGAATTCTCAATCTGACTTGCAGAGTTTTAACCCTCAGGTTTTTTACACATCCAATAGAGGGCAGCAGAGTGTTGATTCAGCTGCCAGTGGGACCATGTCTCTGTGTGTGTTTGCATACACACAATAATGTCATGATAGTGGTAACGATGATTTACTGTGTCGGAGTGAGCTTCTATGTTTAGTAGCACAAAGCTGCCAGTGGCTGATGGCAGGTCAAGACAACAGAAAAGATATTCTAACATATTTCTTCTATATTAGGGACCTTATTAGTTTAAGATGGTTTTTACTTTTATTTAGAGATTTAGAGATGTAGACAGAATAATAATAAAGGGTTACTCAGACATGTGTGAATGAAACTAAAGTATGCAGATATGTTTTTGAAGAGGTAACTGCATTATAACATGGCTTAAAGAGTAAATTGTGCCTTATACTAGTTCTGATTCAAAAACATTTATCATATTTATGCATTTGTTTAAGTACTTGTTCAAATGAGAATGTATATTTATGATTCTGATTGCTGTCCAGGTTTAGATTTTATTTAGGCAGTGGCGAGGTATGGACTAACCTGTGACCATGCCCCTGTGCTCCATTCGGGGGGACAGGCCTGAGTGTTACAGGGCTGGACTTGGGCTGGAGACATGACAGGACACAGAGACTGAACCACGGTCTCCTCCCTCTGATAGGTGACCCTCCTGTGGCAGCGCAGCACCCGGGTCTGCTGCCCCCCTCCACACGAACGGCTGCACGCTCCCCACTCTCCGGCTGACCAGCTGTACACACAGGGATGTAGAAAAAGAAACGGGTCAGAATATAAAAGGTCTATATGATGATTTGTATGAGCTCTAAAGGTGCATCGTGTAACTTTTCTGGTGAAGGGTCCTTCAGATGCTTTTCTCTGTGGAGGTGTTATTTCTTTGTCAGGAATATTTCACAGTGTGGTATTAAACCTTCCTATTGTCATGGAGACCAAATTAGATCAAGTTACAGGTCAGATCTGAGAAGAGGCGACACCACTCACACTCAGAACGCTTGTTTTTCTAGCTGTTTCTGAGCTATACAACCACTTGTAATTTAATAAATGTAAGGTAGACTTGTTTAATGTCATACTATGGAACATTCCAGGCAGAACAAAGACATCTCCATAGAAACAACAACCTCCAAACGAAAAGTTGCACAGCACACCTTTAACTATCAAATATTACAGAAATATTCCTAATCAATTCAAGGTGCACAACTTTTTTGTTGTTGAGTCTGTCCATTCTTGCACCAATGGAGATGTCGATGCTTTGTCAGTATGTTCCATAGTACAGCATTAACCATGTTTATGCATAGATAAAATAAGAATGGAGAAGAGAAGAAAGTTAGGAGGCCAATAAACACATTTCAGCATTTTATTTTTTGCCTTTCCTGTAACAATGTCAGCTATGCCTGTTCTAAACCCCATTCATTTCATATGGAACTACACACTGTGGATCAGATTTTAGGACACCAGCCACCGGTGACCTCCTAATCAGGACAAGTGACCACACATCCCACTGCAAACTTATTTCAGTCCCAAATCTACACAAACAGCATCAGTGGAGCCTGGAGCGATACGATTACGCCCAGTCTGAGGAAAACCTGTGCTAAAATAGATGTCATTTATTCTGTGATCTCAACGCACAATATACTGTATCACATTACATTTCACACACCTATCTCCCTCACAGTGTAGTGACCAGGGAAAGGCTACAAAAACACACAAGGCTCAGTATATAGGATTGTTATGACAGGTTACATCCACCTCTCGCCGTGTCATTTGAATCTAAAACTTAGGCATGAAAACCATACTGTATATAACTGTATATACGTGTTGGAGTACGGGCGCTGGCAGTAGGGATGTTTCGATACCGATTACAGTGCCGATACCGAATACAGAATCAAATAACGGATCTGATCCAAAACCTGTTGGATCAGAGATTGGTTACCAGCTGAACTGATTTCCTGGAGCAACAATAAATTTATGTGATAGGACTTGAATGCCTTCTAATGTTTGAACTTTTCCTTCTACAAATCTGTTCTGTAGTTACTTGAAAGATAAATAATACTCACATTACACACTTGGACTGGGTATTGGCAAATACATAAATATTGACACTGATATCATAAGTGAAAAATGTGGGATCTGTCTAGTCTAGTTTGCAGTGTGCTGTAGTCCATACTAGATGTGGAGGTACTATCAGAAAGATTCAAAAGTACCCAATATTTTAGCAATTTTATGGTTAATTTTATAGTCCTTTTACATTTTTTTTTAAATTAATGTTGTCAAATGGCAGATTTTTGTAATTCTGTAATTCAGGGTGACTTATGGAAATAATAAACCTTTGTGACTGTATCATTGGGATATTTCATGGCAAAGTATGTAATCAATAGGGAAAAAAATGGCTCTTGATATTGGATATTAATAATGGATATTGAAAAATTTGATGGATTGAATATCGGCTTCTAAGATATCAGTTTAGCCGATATCTCATTTTGGTTTCTAAACTGATGCAATAAAATGAATTTCTGGTCAATGTATGCCCAAAATTTAATATTTTTACAAAGCTGTACTGTAATTATTTTAAGTAAGCCACATGTGGATCATGTTTTCCCATACGCGGTTTGTGTTTAAAGAAAATAAATTATGATATCTGCCCTAATATCTTTTGATATCGGGTATCGGCAGCAAAGTATCAAAATCATTACCTTAACAGAAAAAGCACCTATGCAAAAGAAAAACCATATAACATTATCAAATCTTCAAAAAGGAACAGGAACTTGCAGTATAAAGGCTGTGCTGCCATATTTCTACATTTTTGTCAGTAATGTTACAGTCCATTCACATTTGTACAGCACGTCTCTCTGTCCCTTGTGTTCACCTGCTCGGCCTGATCTAGTGTCAAACCCCAGCCATTTTGTCCTGCACCTCTTTTTACACATGTCTTTGAGCATCTCTGACATCCTGACTGGGCCACCACAGATGAGAGCCCTGCTTCTGAAATAGCTTCTGTCCTGGCATCGGGGCTGAGGGGAGAGATTACAGCAAATGAGCGCTCTGACAACCGCAGCCTCACAGAGGAAGAGGAGCACTGGGCAGATGGTTCAGTCCAGCGCTGAGAGGAAGCATGACCACAAAGACCGATCCTGCGCACCGCTGACCTGCTTCGGGGAAGAAAAGCGCTTTCACTCTCCTTTTGAAAGAACCACAGACAAATGAAGAGCCAGGGCTGCACTGCAATTTGGAGATGGGAGAGATGGGAGCTGTTGGGTCTCAAAGCATGGGTTTGGATTGGTTTTTGACCTAGTGGCTGTTTACTTATACAGCTGTGTTTTTCTTTGCTTATAAATAACAATATGTCAATTTGGGGGAAAGTGGTTTAAGTACCACTGTGTTTGGTTTAGACCAACGTTGGTTTAAAGTGTAAGCTATATCTCAAAAATATTTGAACAGTTTGAAATACTGAAGTGCAGAACAGAATGAAGAAATGAAAAAGTATCACTGTCTACAATTTCTTTGTTTTCTTGAGATTTGAAGTGGGTGAGATATTGTCTAAAAGAACATATCAAAAATGACTGTTATACATTTGAATATTAAAGGTGCACTATATAACCTTGGTCTTGGGAGGTCCACGGTCTGCTTGTCTCCATGTAGATTAGTTTGCCTCTTATGTTCCACAATACGACATTTATCCATTTGGCATTTATACTATTGCAGTGTTTTTATTGTTGAAAAACTTGCATGAAAAACTTGCTTTTCCAGAGTTTTGAACTGTAACTTGGACCGGTGGTGTCACCTGGTTGTCTCCATGGAGATAGAGAAGTTCAGTCCCATATTTTGGAACATTCAATGCAAAGTAATGCCTCCAAATATCGATGGAGACAAACAAGTGGACACCCTCCTCTGGAAAATGTACCTTTAAGTGAAACAAGAAAAAAATATCATATAATAAAGTAATAAACACTGTAATAATTCATGGATATTTCAGCTATTTTTTCCTTCACTGAGTATAATGTCCATCCATGTTTTGTGTGAAACTCACTATTGACATTAAAAGTAATTTTTTGCCAATCTCTGACTACAAAATCGTAACTTGAGTATCTTTTATCACCCATGCCCACTTGAGATCCACAGCAAGTTTTCAAGTGTGTTCGAGTGTTCAAGCACAGTCTTTTTCGAGTTATTTTCTCCCTCAACACGGACTTGGGTCTTGGTTAAGTGGCTGCACAGATGGCCTTTACTAACATGACACATTTCCAAAATAACAGTCAAGGTGCTGAAAAGATGAAGAGTTTGTGCAGAGTGTGTAGAGTGTGAGGAGGATGGGGTGGGTGCAGACTAGACTCAGACTATGACTCAGACTTTGTTTGGTGGATACCTCTGCCACAACTCCACAGTGTCAGTATTTTCCTTCGATTTAATTTACATTGCACATTTTCATTAAGCTACATCATTTACTATTAATTACGATACACATAGTTCATTCCTTTATTTAGACATATATTTTCTAGTTTTAGGTGGACACATTTTAGTTAATATACAGTATGTCGAAAAGGTTTACTGACACTTGCTCTTTTGTTTTGAATTGCCAGATGAAAGACCCCGGCAAGAGGAAGGAGGCGCTTGTAAGCACTTGGCAGACCTTGCTTATAGTTCGAATTATTTGCCTTATTGTCACTTTGGCTCAGTTCTGGGTTAAAACATGCATTCTTACTGTGAATGGGTCAGCTCTGCATAGATATCACACCATATTTTGGAATACTGGAAGTAAAGCAATAACATCTCCATGGAGACATTAACTAGTGGGCCTTCTACCAGACAACTAACACAGTGCACCTTTAAGTTAACCTCATTTTTGTTAAATACTATTTTCAACATTTTGAGCTAGTCTTAAAATTATTTGGCTTTATTAAACTTATTTTTACACCTTTGTTTCCACCTTTCTGTTGGTCCATTACACTTTGACATCAATTCTTCCCATGTTCCAAAAGTGGTCACCGGTTTCTCAGGCTCATGTATTCAGTATTCACCTATTCACCTTTGTATGTTCCAGAACACCTCAGTCAAGCATGCACTCCTCTCTGACACGCTGCCAGCCACGGTATACGAGAGACGCTTTTAAACTCAGTGGAAGGGGGCGGGGGGAGGAGAGGGGAGGAGGGCGTGCGGGGCCGACCGTCTTCGCATGGCTAGACCGGCCAGGGCCCCGTGGGAATTCAACCCTTTCTGCACAATAAAACATGGATTGGCCTGTCAGCGCTCGAGATACATGCCTCACAGATAAGCAGCCACTTTTTTACATTCGCTCTAGGTCAGACACACACACATCCAGGAGGCTCTGACGATTTTTCTTCCGCGCAGGTCTGCTTGGCTTTTTCAATGTTCCCCCATACATCCTGGAGGTCTTAATACAGGAGTTTAAGCTTTCATGCTGCTCACTCAACTAAACATTCTTCCTGGGCAGCAGCCTATAAATTGATTCCAACAAACAACCAGCTGAGAAATAGTGCACACTACTGCATAATGAGATCCTGATTGAATGGACACAGGTCTAGTTTTATTTGTCAGGTATAGGGTTGTCAAAAGCACTGAAATTCAAATGCTTATCTCTAATAAAACTTTCACACAAACCTTGATGCTGCAACATGATTGGTCACTCACCACTTGTCCACCAGTCTATTTCGTCTAATACTTGTTCAGATACAGCTCAAGATCATTCTAAAGCTATTCAGAAAGGGTTCATTTCTGTATGAGTATCTAGTTTCGATGCTAGTTTCAAAATCAATTAGTATCTAATTTTCAATACTTTTGACAACCCTACAATAGACTGAAATTTTCAACACCAAATAGTACTACTTTATCATACCATGTGGTCTCATAACAGTTCTGATGGCTTTTTGAATGCTCGCCCATACATCCTGGTGGTCTTAGGCATTTAAGCTTTCTTGCTGCTCACTCAGTTGAACATTCTTCCAGCGCAGCGCCCTATAAATTGGCTCCAACAAACAACCAGCTGAAAAGTAGTGTGCACTACTGTATAATGAGATCCTGATTGAATAGACACAGCCCTAGTGTTATTTATCGGGTATATAGTGTTTTCCTAAAAGGGTTGGTCAGACCGCAACAAGGCTGTTTAATACCTTTCTCCAAGATAAGAGAAATGGTATGCTTAAGATTAGGGTCAGGAAATGCCCTCTCCAGTTGTGGGAAAGTCGGTCAGAAACAGAGGCTGTATGTTGGAGGTGAAAGCGATAGCTGTCTGGCTTGTTCAACCAGGGACACAGGAGGGAGGCCATGCTGGGTTTGTTGTTGTAGTAGTCAGTTTGTGTAGAATTAGACTATAATCATTCGGGGGAGGGGGGATATATGGTTAGTTGTCTCAATACTAAACTCAGTTTTGACATTTATATAGGCTTATAGACCTGATATCCTCTATCAGTTTCTATATCACAATGATAATATAGTGGAATTCTAAACTCTAAATCAAAATAACAGTAATTTCTTTATGTAAGGTTCAAGATCAATCTAAAACTATTTAGGAAAGGTCCAATTTTGTCAATTTTGACTTCTTCAGAATACTTTTGACAAACCGAATTTGATGTCTCCAGATAACAATAATCTGATTACTTTTTTAACAGTCCATCAAAAATGTAACCTGGCTTTCATCAGATTCATATGTGGAGCCTTCTGAACTGAGCTCTACACATCAACCTATGATGGCTCTCATTAAAAGCAATCAGTACCAATGATTGGAGTGTTCCATTTGAGAAAAAAGCACATGTGTCTTACCTGTCCACAAATGAACAACACGCTTCCCTCTGCATATTTTTCAAAAACAAAGGCTAAAATAGGCCTGTCAGTGTTGCCATGTTTGTTTTGGTTTGTTCAGTGCTGGCTTCTGCACAAACCACAGTGCTGCCCTGTGACTGGTCAGTCTTCACACCACTGGTAGTGTGGGACCCTTCACACGCAAAGGCTTCAGCCAGAACAGAACAGGACGGATTCTCAAGAGTTTGTGAACTCACAAAAATTGCAAGAATTCATTTTGCTGGCAAAGCTATCAGAAATGTGCTAAAATACAGACAATATCTTGGTTGAGGTTCATGTTCTGAATAGTTGGATAATTAAACAAAGTTCCTTCTTTGCCAATTTTTTACAGTTTTCTTTATATACTCTTAAACCATTTTTCTGTATTAGATTGTAGACAATATATTTCCCACAACCACGTAGCCTACTGTATGTGTTCTCGTCACATCAAGCTAGCTCAAGCACCCACAGCCAAAACGCTCCATACGAGAGCCCATGTATCTGCACTTGTTGCTCCGTTTGACTCAAGTTCAGATTCTACCTTTACTTTCTCTATTGGTCCCTTAGCACATGAACTCCCTTAATAATGCAGGCCATCAAGCACAGTGTCTAGACAGAGAGGATCAGATTCAGGCATGATTCTGCTCTGAACAGCAAGAGGCCGGGAGCGTTTTAAAGTTAAGTTGACGTTTTATGAAAGGCGACACATCTTTGGAAAGCACCACTCACTTGGAGTTTGTTTTCAACCTTGTCACACTCAATCTCTCCCCTTCCCCTCTCTTGACTCTTAAGTGTTTGTTGAAGTTCAACACTGGGATACTCAGGCTGCATTCATTTCAAGGCTAAACATATAGTCAATCATGGATATCTACTGGGAATAACCTACAACTAATAAGTAGCTAAACAACACAATTTGTATGACAGATGAGGTCTCAGTTGCCCAGCTAAGGTGGTCCCCGCCAATGACTGTATGAAGAAGTGCACTGAGTGAGTGTCACCCATAGTGTTCGGCTCCAGCCAAATGAAGCTCATGAGGCCAGCAGTTACAGGAGTGAATTTGGAGCTGAGTTCCATATTAGGAAATGGAATTTATTTACAGATAAAATTGCCTGATAAAAACACCAGTATCATGTAATGCGTGTTAATACAAACATTTTAAGATAAAAATGTCAAAGCTCACTGCAGCAGTTACAGAGAGAGGAGTGAACTGGAAAGAGTCAATGGAGCCCGAAATGTCCCCACGTTCACTTCCTATTTGGAAAGTGGGTACTAGTGCTTTAGCTATGTCCATTTGTATATGCTCTCTGACAGGCCTGCCCATGCAGCACTAGTTGAGGGATGGGTCAAATACAGAGAATGGATTTCCTTCAATAAAGTATGCTTTACCTTAATAACATAAACTTAATTACCGTATTTTTCGGACTATAAGTCGCACTTTTTTCATGATTTGGTTGGTCCTGCGACTTATACTTCGGTGCAACTTATATATTAAAATTTTCACACTGACAGCCTAAAGAGGGTGCTCTAGGCTTCTGTGCCAGTATCTGCTCTATCTCCTATTACTCCTGTACCACTGTCACTTTGTTCTGCTATGCATGTCTCCTACAGAAAGAGCAGCATCGCACCATTACTTCTGTACCACTGAAAAGTTAAGATTTAAGTGACAACCGAAACCCTCCTGTCAGGATTCAAAAAGGCTGGAATAATTCTAACTGGAACTGATGCTGAGTCTAACGACAGGTACACAGAAGAGGAAGCGGCGCTCCGTTTACCTCCTGAGGTCACGAAGTTGCTTAGAAATTACACCAAGGATGAAGAAATCAATGGATTTAGTGATGTGTGAGTGTGAGTGGATTTAGTGATTTGAGTGACATCAAGAGTTTGGTAAACTTGTTTTGTTCTGTTGTTTATGCTATAGGTGCATATGAATAGGTGCTTATAGAGCTTGATTGACAGGTATATACATTGACAGGCATCAAGCAAGACGACTCATGAGTTCAATCTGCATTTCAAAATGCATATTTCTTAACACAAATGTTAAACAGCAGAAGAGTTGACCTTAAGTAGGCTCTTAAAAAGGCAAACAGAAAAAGTCAAATTAGAGAGTGCGCCGAGGAGAGCCTGGAGAGAGAAAGACGAGAAGAACACAGGCGGCGCTGAGTGGTGGCTGACCACAGACAAGCTCTCCACCGGGCGGCCACAATGTACGTCTGTATGGGACCAGTGTGTGCAAGAGCCAGGCTCGGTAAACACAGCACCTCTGACTGCTGCAAATGTGGCAACATTATAAGACAGGGCAGCACCAGACCACAAGTGAGTGCAGAGAGAGGGAGAGAGAGAAAGATGGACAGAAAGACAGAGCAAGAGAGAGCAAGAGAGAGAAAAAGAGACAGGGAGAGACAGAGAGATGGAAGAAGGGAAGCACAGAAACACAGAGAGACAAGACAGGAGAGAGGCAGAGAAAGAGAGAGAGAGAGAACAAAGAAGGGAAGCAGAGAGAGACAGAGAGACACAAGGAAGGAGGGAGGCAAAGAGAGAGAACATGATGAAAGAAACAGAAAATTCAGGAGAGAAAGGGAGAGAATGAAAGAAAGGGAGAGCAAGAGAGAAAAGAGAGAGAACAATAGTGAGAAAATGATAGAGAAAGAGAATGTGAAAGCAAGGAAGAAAGAGAAAAAGTGAGAGGAAGGGGGAGAGAAATAGTGAGAAAGACAAAAAGAAAAGAGAAAAAGAAAAAGGGAAGAGAAACACAGAGAGAGAAAAAAGAGAAGGAAAGAGAAAATGAGAAAAAGAAAGAGAAAGAAAGGGAAAAATGAGAGAAAATGAATGAGAAAGACAAAGAGAGAGTGAGAGACAGTGAGCAAGATGGAGAGAAGGGTGGAAAGAGAAAGAGAGAACCACACACAAAGATGTACTCACTAGGCAGGGCAGGGCTGAGTGTTGCACAGATGTGAGCCCAGAGTGGGTTTGGTGTGGGGATTACACATGCTGGAGTTGACCTGCACCTTCTGGTCCTGCAGACAGATGGCCTTGGTGGAGATCCGGCCTGGAGAGGACACAAGTCACATGTATGGAAACAATTAAGGTGACAAAAAATAAAAAATAAACAGTTAACTCAGGCGTACAGGATTGGATGCAGGTACATAAAAGTGACTATGTTGAAACTAGCTCTTGACTAAAACATTATGAATCATTTATCAACCTTTTTTTCTCAAGCTAAAAATACAATGTAAGTTCAATAAGACTAGGCAAATTATGTAAATGATGCAAAAATTTGATGATTTGAATATTTCCTAAATCAATATTAGTTACATCGCTAAATAGTGACATGTCAGATCTGTGGAGAGGTGAGCTCACTCACAGTCACAATGCAAGTTTTTAGGTCAAAAAAAGCCCATATTATTGAGTAAATGTGAGATTGATACGTTTAATGAAGGAGTCTCCAATCTTTTTCTTGGTGAGCTAGTTTTACAAAAAGAAAATGCCAAAGAGCTACTCATTTTAGCGGTTACAAGAAATTGAGCATTGGAAACCCTTAGATTTGGAACAGTTAGACACCTATAAAATATAAACCTTTATCCATGTATTAGTGCACAAAGTTAGGCACCAAATGATACATTTACAATGGTAGATCATCAAATTTGAGTCATTCAGCACAATATGTGTAATTCAGAAATCCTTTGGCGAGCTACTTGGAAGGGGGTGGAGAGTTACAGGTTGGAAACTCCTGGTTTGATACCACACTGGGACACTCCAGACAAAGCAATAACATCTCCAAGTAGATGGTAGACCCTTACACAGTGCACCTTTAGTTTAGTCTTTTGTTTTGGTTTATCTCTACAATATATTCCAAATTAATGAAAATTTGTTTGACTAAAGTTAGCATCTTGCATCACAAAACATCAGAATTGCCTGAAACAGTTCTGGATCTGAGCAGTGTGTAAACTTGCAATTGTTGTAAATGAATCACCGACATCAGCAGTTTTGCACATTCACAGCTATTATGAGCAGGTTGCAGTCATCTGCATATAATGTTTTACTATCTATTTTACTATCTTCTCATATAACCAATTCAAATATCAATTTTAACAGTCTCACCTCCAGCACAGGGAGCGGAGCAGTCAGAGCGCACCACGCCCCAGCTGTAGTCCGGTTTCCTCTCCGTACGGGGCAGAGTGTACTCCCACACTACGCCCGGGTTTTTGCCCTGGAGCAGGATCTGTGTGCCAACAACACAGCTGATTAGAGAGAAGGGCCCTGGCACCAGAACAAGCATCAAAATAAAACTCTATGTGTGTTTTGGATCGGAGCGGAGGAGCAGCGGGCACCGCGGTGGCCTCGTCAAATCTTCATGTCTCATTGAGAGCTTTTAAGTGCTACCTATGACCACACATTTATGGAGGCTTGCTGTACAAAATGTCAGCCTATACTGTTACAAGCTTGATTTATTTAGACAGTGGACACGTGAGACAACATTTCCATTTTCCATTTAGGAGTTTTAAAGCACCATGTCCACACTATAAACCTAAAGATGATTCTAGGGTACCTTTTGAGGATGGAAACGATTAGGTCTGGCTAACTGTTTGGGATGGCAGTCAGGCAAGTGTCACAAATGAATCATGGTACATCAAGTACATGGCCTACTATCTTCTTTTCCCTTTTGGTATTTTCACAGCAACTGTCTCTAGTCTTGTGAAGAATAAATTACAGGTTTATAGTCCTGTCACTATATTACTATATCAACTTACCATTCAATGTATGTAAGCTGGGGGCTATATGTAAGAATTTTGAGGGTCAATTGGGGTATTTTTGTTGTAATGCAATACAAGATTTGACCTAATATGACTAATTATTGCTTCATTCTAAACTATTCATTAGTTGCAGCTCAGGCCTTTTAAATGATACTATCTATTAAAAAATTATTCACAGAAATTTTCAGTATTATTGTTTATCTCAGTACATCTCTGTAGGAATACATCATGCTTTTAAATATGTTATCATGACAGGCTTACAGGTTCAGAAAGAGGCCTGCACCATTTCTACACAAACACTACATCCTATAGTAGTATTGGGACAATCACAAGCAAAACACTGCCCAACTGTGGTCCCCTCCTTAGAATAATAATACCAAAGTAACTTCACCCATTCTGTGCCACTGTTTGCACCCACAACCTCTCTGACCACCTCCATCTCACACAATCACACTATTATATCCACTGAGGAAAGGCAGGTGTCATGCCAAAGGATACAATGGTATAGTGGAGCCATGAGGCACTTATGCAAAATACTACTTGCAAAACCAAGTACTTTTTGAGTATCTTCCACATACAACAGTGCTGAAATATTTCTACCTACAAGTTCCGAACAATATTTGTTCTGGACAAAAGTGACGAAACAAAAAAAGTCTAACTTAAAATGAACGTACTTGTAACCACAGACACTAAAAGGTTTGAACTCTTGCTATTTTCTTCTAAAATGTAACTACTAATTTTGTATAGTGACCATGGCTGAAGCAATATCCGTTGAAGCCCTTCCTGCTTGTACCTTTATCAAGTATTCTAAACATAATTCTTTAGTTCCAATTATGTTTAAATTCTAACAATAACCAAAATATTGTGATATGATATCATCAAAAGTCTCACAATAATATCATGGGCTGTCACAATATATCAAATTATGCTTAAATGTATTGTTTTATTGTAGAAACAGCTAATAAGCACGGGGAACTACGTACATAGACCATCTTTTGCTCAATTCAAAGCAGACAACATGAAGAAAGAACTGTCATGAAGAACTTCCTATACCACTTTTCCAGTCACAAGTGCTGGTTTTCATTGTTTACTTTGCATAAATGGACTTAATTTGCTCACGCCTCCGAGAAAGAGGAACCACTGCTTTAGATGATACAGTGCAGACAGCAACTAAGATGTCTAAGCACATCATACATAAATCCAGTTGACCATGTGATCCCCCTTTCACTGTGCAACCAGTTTCTCAGAAGAGGAAGCCAATCTCCAACATCTAACCAACCACAGAGTAAATCGGAGATAACTTCTAAATATGTTGCACATCCAAACGCGTCCATAGTCCATTTGTCAGTCTGGGGCAAATCCAACTAAAGCTTATTTCTTCTCTGACAGCTGAACACCAAAACCAAAGGCAACAGTGTGAGGCTTCGACATGCCCATACAAACTCACCAATGTCCACAAAGTATTGCACAAGCGGACACAATAGCAACACGCACCCGGTGAGATAATTATAACTCCGCTTTTCTTGACTCTAGGATGGGCTTTGGTTTTCACCACATCACTCATCAAGTCCAATGAGACCATGACCGAACTGCAACATGGGAACACAGATATCGGGCTTTTTTTGTGGCCTGAAAAATCCCTGTCCCTGGACTGGTATGACCTCACTGCTCCATACCGCAAGAATTTCGATTAAGCAGGCGTAATCCTCCGCAGTTCAAAAGTGGCCATATGTTGCGTCTAGCCCCCCATCCCCCACTCCTTTCTCTGCTGCCGTTAGCTACTTTCTCTAAGCAGTGATGTGGATAACTTGTCACAGTTTATGCTCAGGCGCTCCGGCATTTGTTTTTCTAAGAGTGCTTCTCGCTGCGTCTGGGAGTGATCAGCGGAGATGTCACGGGCCGTGTGCTGTGTCAGCTATTTTGTGAGGCGCTATAGTTAGTTCAAGATCAGTTGGGGCTCCCACAGCGCAGCTCCCACACTGGAAGATGCAGGGCTACGAGGGATGGAGAAGACTGAAGACGTGCCCTGCCGAATGATCAGTCGACTTTCAAAACTGTTGTGTATCTCTAGGTATCTGAGTCAAACTGCTTTTACAAGAATACAAGTACATAGGAGTTCATGCAACAAAAAAAAAGTACCAGGAAACACAGTACTGACATAGATTAAACTCATGAATCTGATCTGCCTTTTCAAATATAAAAAACAAACAATAATAAATCTTCAGCTAACTCACTAGATTTTCTTTCTGTTGTTGTCCTATATAAATCCTTATAATAATAATATGATTAGTCAGCTATTCAAAATTTTCAACACAATCAACTGATTAATCAACAAAACAACTAAAGGACTACAGTCCAAAGGACTACATTAATACTATACTCCATACAACTGTACAACTCACCCTTATTTAATAGACAACCATCTTTTGTGTCTATAGCCTAAATATAGATTATATAAATTTTTATTTTGCTACATTGTACATATACAAATCTGTATATTTGAACCTCAACCAGTAGAAGTCTTCACTATTTTTGCCACTTTAAACACATAGTATGAACCTTTTCAAGGTCACCTGCAAGATGCCATGGAAAAAGGAAGTTAAAACCATACTTCAGAAGATTGTCCATAGAGATATACATTTTATGTTATGCTGTGGAAAATTATGGTCAAAGTAACAGCATTTCCATGGAAACAAGCAGGTGGAGGCCCTGCTTCATGCCAAATAAGAATCAGGTTTTTGGCTAAAAGCTTACATACTCAGGCTTTAATGATTAAAATATGTATTTTATGGTCTTTGTTATTGCAATGCGTGAGCTACTGTGTCTAAGTAATTTCCCTTGTGAATAAGTACAGTCTGTCTAAGTCTAAGTAGTCTGGCTGGCGAAAGAGAGAAATCAGGACTTGTTTCATTTACAGCAGAAGCCCCTTTTATTCTTCCCGCTTGTAAAGATTGCAGTATTCTTAATCTTTTTAATCTCACGCTAGCCTTCTCTCTCTCTATGAAACTTCTGTAATTACGAGACATGCTTATGGGGATTATGTTTGTGTCATGGGCAAATCAGCAGGGGGCTACTACTGAGAGCTCACCCGGACAGATGCGCGACGAGCCCAGAGACATGATAGGAAACTGTTACGGTCATTAGATTTCACAAGAGCTTAAGTCAAACGTGTAGTGGATAGCATTACAGAAGAACGCACTGGCAGAAGCTCAACATGTTTGGATAAGTGGAAGTCAGCCTGGACAATATCTGGGCTGAAACATGTTCTGTTATTTCTGTCTGAGTCTCAGATTTAGGTTGCTAGAATGGTTAGTGCCACTGCTTTACATTATGACTAAAAAATGTATCATAACAAGTAGGGTTTTTTTTTTGTTTTTTTTGTTTTTTTTGTTTTTCAAATTGATCGATCCCATTTTCGAATCTGTTTTATTTGAAACAAAATTGTTTTCAATATTACTTTCCTGAACATAAACAATACAGATTCATCATAGCTATTTTACAAAAAATAGTCAAATTTCTTCCACAGAACCATAGACTGTCTATATAGAAGGACATAGCTAACCTGGTAGTTGCTGTGTTCCAAATAAGAAGTGAGCATCGGCGCGATTCCAGCTCCATCAAGTCCGGCTCTAATTCACTTGATATTGATATTGGTAATTGACAAATAAAGGTATACTCATACTCATAAATGCTGCTGTCAGTCCCCTTATTTGATCTTAAAAAGTTCATAGTAGCAAACTTTACATGATCCTGGCGTTATTATTTCGCTTGTTGTCCATAAGTCAACTATTTCAGTTATGTGGCTCCAAATTCGCCACATAACTGCTAACCTTGTGAGCTTCACTTGACTATACGCTATGGGTAACGTCACACTCCCTTAGTCCACTTCTTTATACAGTCTACACTCAGAACTCCAAACCACATGCTTTTACTGACCAAAAAGTGGCTGTAGATCCCTCAATTAAAAGACCCAAGCATATCACTGAAAATTACAAATCCCAGTCTCCATTAAAATGAATTTCAATGTACACTGTCACTGGTTTACAACAAGGATATGACAGTATTGGTTCAAGGCAAGCTGCTGTTTAATATGTCTCTATGGTGCCAGATTACTTTTTACTTATCATCCAAAGACATGAATATAAAGGTGAATGAGTCTGAAGTTATTCATTATAACAATGTGAACTAGCTTTTTTTTTTTTTTTTTTTTTTCAATCCCACATATTAGGCAAAATACAGTGTGCACAGATTTTGAGCAAAATACCCACTTGCCTAATAATTGTGCTATTTGACCATATCATGATTTTTATGTATATTCTCCAACTCCAAGCTGTATAAACTTCTCATTCTTGGATTTAAGCATATCAGCTGATGTGTATTTGTCTAAATTATTGGTCACTGTTTTTTTTGTTTTGTTTTGTTTTGTTTTTGCTTTGTTTTTTGAGTTGTTTACTATTCTGACAGATGATAATAAACAAGTGAGGATGAAAATTTTTCATTTTTTATTTAGTTGCATAATAATTCAGCACATTAAGAGTTGCCCAATAATTCTGCACACATATTTCACAATTAGGGCACACATTATCTCCTAAGAAAGCCAAAACTTCACTTTTAACTTTCTTAAATATTCAGGTTTGAGGTTTCTTAAGATTTTGGATTGACCGAGAGCACTGTAGCTGTTCAGCTATAAAATGAATCCTCATAAATACAGCTTGCCTAATAATTATGCAGACAGTGTATTGTTATTATTATTATTAGTCATATTTAACCCACTCCAAAATGATGTCCCGAATCACTACAACTTAGTAACAACACCATCTCTGGCAAGTAATGGCAAGACATTTACCTTTTTCATTAATCAAAACTTCTTTCAGTCCACTCTTCAAGTTTAAGAAAATGTTTGACCCCTAAAGGTTCAGTTTTTTCCAACTATGCAGATGTTCCAGAAAAACGAACAATGGACAGCCAGATGCCATTCTCCCAACTACTACTTACTCCATTCTGAAATAGTTACAAAAACACACAGACATTTCCTGATGGGCAGGCCTGTCAGAAGTAAAACATTTTAGACACTCTGGTATTCCTGCTAGATTTACACTCCAATATCCCTTCTGTAACTGCACAGCACACTAGCCCAAGGGCCCTACAGAGGAGACAGGCTTCTGCTCTTCGAAAAAGTATCTAGTCCTCACCTGGTTTCACTTCTGTTTCCACGGCGAGGGTTCAGAGTGCAGGGAAAAAATGCTTGTACTGACAAAGTTATGAGGGGGTAACATCCCACATGTGCCTGCTCAGTTTACTTAAGCTTTCACAGACAAAGCTATGACTCGGTGACACTCGTCCTGTTAGTTTTGCCGTGAGGAGAATACAGCTGTCCGGCATCACATTCTCCTGCCTAAGGAATGGATGGTGACTTGTCCTTCCTCTCAACCTATGGCTTTGGAGACTGCACTAATTACAAGAATGGTTGGCTAATTATACAAATGGATGGCTTTAAAAAAGTTGTACCTGATTTTAAAATGTGAATGACAGAACTAGTTTTGTTTGTAGTGGTCCACACAGTATAGTGTTAAACCTTTCTATCTTCCTGAAGACCAAATCAGACTAGGTTACAGGTCAGATCTGTGGAGAGGCAACCCTGTTCATAGTCAAAATGTCAGTTTTTCTATGTATTTTTTAGCTATAAAACTACCAGTAATTGAGTAAATGTAAGGTACAGCTGTTTAATGTCATACTGTGGAACATTCCAGGCAGAGGAATGACATAGCCATAGAAACAGGCAGGTGTTGGAACCCCAAAAAAGAAGTTAAATAGTGCACCTTTAAGAGAAAGGTGCTAGACATGGAAGGTCCATAGAAGATTGGATTTTAATCTGAAAGCATGGTCAAATTTATATGAAGAAAGAAGATACAATGCCATCCAGCCAAAGGAGGCCAAAAGCCAGTGTGCTCTAACCAGGCCTGGATAAAGAGGATTGCATCAGTGGTTCTGCAGCAGTGCCAAATAAATATGTGAGGCACGGCACACGTGGAAGGAGATGATTTGTGTTACAACCCTGAAAAGCAGGAGCAGTATTATTAATGACCCTATGCATGATTTGTTCTGTTGTGATTGATCTAATATCTCTTTGAAGCTTGTATTTACACTCAGTCCGGGCGGGCATCTGATGTACTTTTTAGAAACATGACATCTCCAAGTACAAGTGGTTTTCCCCCCACCCAGAGCCCTTTCATCTGAGCTTTGTCATGTTTAAAGATAAAAAAGAGGCGCAGTAGGGCTTCCAGGGAGCCTGTCACAGTGGATAGTCGTTAGTGGACAGTACAGAGAAGTACAGAGCAGTACGCAGAGCTGAGGCTTACTTCAAACACAAGCGTCTCATTAGTGGGTCCAGCCGCGTACAGGCTCTCCGGCTTGTTGAAAGAGCGCTGGTAGTCAAACACTGTCCCGCCAAAGTGGAACTTCCCTGGCCAGTCAACGGTCCAGTCCCCGGTCAGGTAGTATTTCCTCTTGAGTGAGCGAGCTGCCAGATAGCTGGTGGAAACCTCCTTCTCCTGGATGCGGATGCTGCGAGCGCCAGCTGGGACTGTGACCATGGAGTAGTACTCTGGGGCAAAGGAGATGGACATTTAAATGGTTCAGACCGTATCATGGCTGCTTTATATCATCACACACTCATCCTAATCTCTGCTTTTTGTATAAGCTGACATGGACAAGGAACTCTCATGTGTACAAGAGTGTATGTTTCCAAATGCGCTCACCATTTGCTCGGTGCTGGAGCGTGTACTGGCCCTTGAAGAACTTGCACGAGGAGTTGTCACCTTTACACACCCCACAAGCGTCCAGGGAGGCCTTGGAGCCCAACATCTGGTCGCAGCCTACAGCCTGCAAACAAAAAAAATGATTTAAAGGTACTCTGTGTAGCCTGCACTCTTACCGTTTTACAAAATACAACCACAATTAAACTAGTGCCTAAACCTGTAGATAAATGTCCAACTTTTACTCCTTCTCAGTATATGGACAGACCATGCCTCATGTGAAAGCTCAGAATCTCCAGAATTCGATCACTGAGCTGCAAAGGCTGTACTAGCATTGCATTCACATCACAAAGAGTTCTCAGATTTCAACATTGAAACTGGCAACCCAAATGAGAGACTCATGTGAGGCTTATTCTGCTTTCTGATACTCATCTTGAGAACCAAAACACCAAATTATAACAATCTAATCTACGTAGCCATCATGTCCGATGTTTTTGTAATCAAGAATAAATCAGCATTACAGTTGTTATCAGTAAGAGCTATATTTACCTTGAACATGCCTGCATAGTTCTGGGACCATAGTTAGGCCATGTTTACAGCATTTAAATCAAATTCTCAAGTGTTTATTCTGTATCTGCTAATACCGGTGCGTCATAAGATCAGTTTAACTTTTACCTCACAGACTCCATCAATGCAGACATCCCCTTTGTGTTCAGAACAGGAAGTACCATCTTTGACTTTGCTGGACATGGCGAAAAAGAAGTCGTAGTCTTCAGCGATGCAGTAAAGCTTACATATGTCTTCATCTGGACAGATACAAGGAAACATCTGGAAATATGGGAATGCCACTCAGCCACTGCCTGAATCGGTTCTCCATGCCAGGGCGTTACAAGTTACTGCAGCTACCCCAGTGCATCGTGTTTAGGCATTCTGTACAATGTGCTAGCTAAACGGGAATTAGAAAAGACAGGAGCGGGCTTTGAATGCACCCTTGAGATTCCGCGTAGGGCAACAGGTTTATTTAGTAGTTTGGATCAGTTATCGCGGACAAGTCTCTGCAGCCGTCTTTGATTAAAATAAATGATGGTGAAGGTGACTTGGCCCAAGGTCTCCGAAGGCAGTTCAGAATCTGTTCCTCTCTGCATCACCTCCCATTCATCAACAGCTTAAACAGCACCGGGAACAGGGCCAAACACACGGCTTTCCTTCACCGAGCACCCTCCTCTGTGTAACAAAGCTGGCCCGCAGGCTTACTTTTTAAATCCATCCCCACTGTGTCAGGGGGTGCAGGTGGCTACATGTCTGCCATGCACATTACACTAAGTGATGACTTCCTCCGGCTCTTTGCTCTCTTTTATTGTCGAGGTAGTGACGGGCATTAGAAAGAAACCATTACGAGATGCGATTTAAAGTGCATATGACAGGTTTTCATGTTTTCCTAATTATAACTCAGCTGGATGGGAGAGTGCCAGTGGTAAATATTTATCGTAGTTTTAGATTAGTCAAGTGGAAAACAAAGTACAAAAATATGGGAGGTAGCGGTGTGTTCTACATCAACAGACATCAACAGCAAAAATTCCTCCAAAATGCAGTGAAAATTACATGCAACGAAAGCATTTTTATGACAGCTCAATAAGTTTTTTTTTGTAAATTTGACCTTCAGATAATTTATTTTATTAGATTCTTTTTTCAGACCAAGGTCAATTTAGGTTAAGGAGGCAAACGAAATATGGAAAGATGCTCACAAGACTATAACTCAAGACAAGGGGACTTTTTTACTCTCACACACCTGGCGACATCATGTGACCACTCTGAGGAAGGAACTAAAAAATAATAAATAATAAAATGCTTTTTTTCTGACAGTTTAAACCTTCATTCAACAAAATAAAGGTGTCGTCATTTATGTTTATAGCCCAAATCGGAACTATTGTGCTATTTGTTAACATTACGATTACTGGGAATTGCCTTTACATATGTCACATCTGCTGCCTGCTTCCGACCAGGAAATGAAAAAAAAATTTAAAAAAAAAATAGAAAAATAGACAAAAATATGCAAGCTTTTTTGTTATATCTTAAATGCCAACTGTGTTTTAGTGAAGTGAATAGTAAAACCTGTCATGTGCACTTGAAACTAACACAGAACTCAATATAACATAAAGGTGTGTGGAATTTGAATAATCTAGGTGTTACAATTTGTGTTTTATAGCACAGCTCCAACTACACACTATAACGTCTATGTAAATAAAGCATACCTACAAATCATTCACAGTTTGTATCAGGGGGCACGTATAGTACAGTATAATGACCTTACCATCCACTTTGGTGTAGGGCTTCCACTTGTAGTACCAGCCTCTGAAAGGTTTGCTGTTATATTCTGCGCACTGCTGGGCTCTGAAGTCCAGTGCACTGGGAGGACACGGGCGAGTGTTGCAGAGCTGGTTCAGACGACTGGATCCTTCACAGAATTTACCATTGTTCTGTGGCCTGATGGGAAAAGATAGGGACATGTTATTCACCTTATTTGTTATTTGGGCTGTATTATTTTGCATGAGGCTGCCGATCCTAACTGCAAATAAGTTCAATACGGACGATAAAGCCATTTTAAAGCCTGCCAGAGAATTGGTGCAGTGTTGACTTGTTGGTGCTCAGGGAAATTTGACATTTTACACAAATTAACCTACTTCATGTCATTTTTTTAGCTGCAAAACTTTTTCCAAATTCTTACTGAAATGAATCGGGTTAATGTTTAACCAGAAATGCCACTTCAAGAAAGCATGGTTTAGGAGGAGCATTTAGAGACAAAAGTGGGTAGGGTTGAATAAGAATAAGGTGAGTTGACTGCCCTAAGTCTTATACATATTGGTATTTTAATTTATTCTGTATACAGTAATTCATATATCTAAGAGTAAAAATGACAACTGGTCACGTTTTTATAGTGCTTTTCCACCTTCAAGGCACTTAAAGTGCTTTACATCAAGTAACCACTCATCCATTCATACACATATTCATACGCCAGTGTACACAGACACTAGGGCGAGGAGAGATGAAGTGTCTTGCCCAAGGACACAACAACAGGATTCATCTGTGAGTGGTGTAACCACACCACCAACCTGTGGATCAGTGGCTCTGACCGCTCAACCAATGATGTTGTGTCAAGTGTAAGATTCGAACCATCAACCTTCAGTGGACAAATGCTCTACCAACTCAGCAACTGTCAGATGTTACATGTTAGACTCAGTTGATCTGGTATAAATGCATGGAACATGGCAATGAGGTTTAAGGAATATGGAATTTTCCCACACAAAGGAGTAAAAACAATAAACGAAGCAACCTGCAGGCTACCTACACCAGCTCTCCCAATGTAAAACAATTCAAGACGTTCTGAATTTCAGTTACTTTCATGTGAAATGCAAAAATTCAAAACAGCTAAAGCTTTACTTTGGTACAAAAATAGCCAATTTGTTCACTAGGTTCGAATTAAGGGCAATATTAATACCACCTGAATCAAAATTTGAATGACGCAATAAGCAAATTGCTCATGCTGCAATTTTTGATGTACTATCATATCCTCTGCAAACAATAAAATATCCTGTTTTATTCTGCATAAAAACTGCCAACCCTGCAGTTTCAATCTGTAGAAACATGTTCTGAAATGTGATTCTTGTATTAGTTTGCCAGTTCATATTTCTGTTTTTTTGCCAGTTCTTTTGGACAAGTTTAAAATGTGAACTTTGAACAGAATCCTATTATTAAAACATAAATCACAATTCTAATCTAATCACAATCGCAATGTTTGTCAGGAAGATCGCTTTTCCCAAATCATTCAGCCCTAGATCCAATAATCAAACATCATGCTCCAGGGACATTCTGAGAAATAACTGTAACATAAAGTCTAGGTCTGTTTATCTGCACTGTCAAGTAAACCAATATCTATTCAACAGCCCAGATGAGGACTCAATAAACTACAAAGTGAGAGTGAAAGTGATATAGAAGGGAAATTGAACTTTAATGTGAAAGCCAAGCCATCTTTTTCCTGAACACAAACACAACAAAGTAATGGAAATCACAGCATTATAGCTGACTTCCCAGGCTTTCTAAACTAATTCCAGGCATTCCTACCACCAGCAGAGAAAATTGAGTTTAGCTATTTACCGACGCAGCATGGATACAACCTTATGTGGGAACATGCTGATCAAATAGAGGATTTCACTTTGCCTAAGTGTGCTTTTTATTCCTCCACTCAAACAAGGAAAATTTCTGTATATAATGACTGATAGCGCAGTCACGGATATAGCTTTACTGTCCATTCTTTCCATTTGCAAAACCTGAACTAAATCAATCAGACTTCCTGCCAGGACTCGTGGAACTTCCTGTTATGTGTGTGTATGCGTGAATGTGAAAGTGAATAAACTCGCAACAAGCCGATCTTTGCATATCTTTGCGTAGATATGATCCAACTTGGAGAGGACTTCTTCCTATTGAGACATATGTAGCGGCAGACAACCAGCCCATATGGTAACGTACTTACGGTGGCCCCAGCGGGACACTCTACTGTATATTCCATCCGTCAAGGCCCATGCATCAAAGCAGTGGAAATAAAGCTGAATTCGTAGTATTTTTATCATGGGGGTACTGAATGGGCTGTACCACGGCAACAGTAAATCTGACCGCAGGCACAAGAGAGGAAGCAGACTTGATAACGTTTTGGTTTGTGTTTTGGCCATGCCTCTCGTCCCTTGGCACCGTGACTCCGGCTCATCCCTCTGGACCCTCAAGGGCGCTAAAGTGTCTCCACAGACTAGTAAATCAGCACCAGGAGCTCAGACTGAACTCCCAGGGGTCAAAGGTCACGTAGTCTGGTCACGGCTTTAGCTCAAAATCACCTGCTCTCCCAGTCTTCACACTTTATGTCCCACATACGGTCATTATACTCGCTGACCTTGCCATTTGGTGCGCCTGTATAGGGGGTACTTACGAGCACACGCAAATTCCCTATAAATTAGTGAGAGGGCCTTGAAATATGTTCCAAACCAGGTCAAAATCATGAGCCTAATCTCCCAGTCTTGTTGCTGAGGATTAGGGTGACTGTGTTTGATCTGGCAGGTGGTCCATGGAGAATACAGAAGAGGGGAGGGGGGAGGTGTATTCGGGGGGCACTACATAAGATTTTTTTTTTTTTTTTTTCTGCTGGATGGATCTGTCATCTGCTTGTCATCAGAGAAATGTTAGCAATTTGCTTGGAATGTTCCACAGTATGGTATTAAAAGGTATTAAACTTATCTATCTCCATAGTGACAAGCATGTAACACCACCAGGGTTACATGTTAAGAGATGCAGTACAGTAGAACAGTAAAAACATAACCAAATACTATATGAATAACTGCATGATAGAAAGGATACTGTGGAACATTCCAGGCAAAGTATTAACATCTCCATGGACACAAGCAGTTGCACTTTTACAGGGCGCATATTACCCTTTTCTGATCTCTGTTGTAATGCTGTTTCCTCATCACAAACATGCCTGGTGTTGTGTTTTGTTTCATTCACACATATTTAACACACAAACCCCGCATATTTAAGCCAAGTTCGTCATGCAAACAGAAATACAGGAAGTGCTCCACTCTGTTTTAAACTCCATATACCTTCACTGGAATCAATTGGATAATTTCAGCCCTGGAATTGCCCATCTCTACTGAATTAAAAGTAAAACATAGCTGTTAACTTGAAAACTACCACTTCAAGGTGGAACAGAACATTTTGAGCTTTGGAGATGTAGACAGACTAATAATAAAGGGGTTGTGAGTGAAACAAAACACAACTCCATGTATGTTTTTGATGAGGTAACAACATTCTAGTCCGTTTTGCATAATATAAGACTAACATTTTATTGTAAGAGAAGGTTTTACATATATATAAAGCAGTAAAGTTTGCTCAATTTGCCTTGCATAGTGGAACCCCAGCAACACGCAGCCTAATCCAGTTCAGATTAGGGGCAAAGCGATGTGGCAAAAATAATTACTGGAATCATTAGTTATGTTTACAATGACACCACAGTTGACCCAGAATACATGTATGACACTGCAGCTTAATGTAAGAATGTGTAATCCGTTCATTGTTCCACCAGCTGTACAGGCAGTGACTCTCCATATTATACATTATAGCAAAATATGATATTATGATGCAATGTCATTGTATTTGATTGCTGTATTGTGTCTATCTTGGCACCCCTCGTCCTCGCTGACCTCATAACTCAGCGGTTTACTAGCATCAACCCACTTTTCAACAGCAGCTGCTACAAAGTGCTTGTCAGTGCCATAGGAATGATAAATGGAGCTGACAGTTAACCTGGTTTAAAGGCTCCTATGGTCCTCTTTACTCTGCCAGTCATGGTGTATAATGTGTATCATATGAGAAGTGGTCAGCCTCTGCACACATCTTTGATCCCATGTAAGGATTAGGGGAGGTGTGGAATTTGATAGCGAGAACCACCACTGTTCAGTATGCAGCGTTATTAGGTTAACTATAAAAAGTGAATACAGATTTAAGTGTGCATTGTGTAACTTTTCAATTGGAGGACCTGTCAAATATTTAATACTTACTTAATACTTAATACTTACTATAATTTTCAGTGGAGATGTTTTTGCTTTGTCTAGAATGTTTCACAATATGACATTAAACCTTTATGTCTTCATCGAGACCAAACCAGACCAAGTTATAGGTCAGATCTGTGGAGAGGTAACCTTCCCTCAGAGTCAGAATTCATGTTTTTCAAAGTATTTTTGTGCTATAAAATAACCTGTAATTGAATAAATGTAAGGTAGAGAAGTTTAATGTCATACTGTGGAACATTCCAGGCAGAGCACTGACATATCCAAAAAAAAAAGCAAGTGACAGATCCCAAACCAAAAAGTTAAATAGTGCACCATTGACTGTTATTCTAATTTATAACTCAACACAACTCAACAGTCTGTGAAGTGTACATTAATCTAGAATGAGCGTGGGTCCAACAACTGCTGTAAAATACGTTACGTTCATATACTAGACTTTGATGGTGTCATAATTTCAGATACATGACAGGGCCCTGTAAAACTCTACAAGAGATTAACTGTTTTTGAAAGAAGATATGTTATGTATGATGTAAATGCATGATCTACAAACTCCATTGCCTTATTAATCCTACTACGTCCTGGCAATTTCTAAAATCATATATTTGGGGTTGAATGGCGCGATCTTCTGAAGCCATTGTTTATTCGTTTGTTTATTTATTTGTATTTAGTTATTTATTTAAGAAAAAGGGGAACAATGCAGACCCCCCTATGGGCAAAACGTATTTCACTTCAGTTTATTTATGCTGACAGAGAAGGCATTAAACTCTGTGCCAGTTTTTGTTTCATGTGGGTAGGCTCTGTAATTGTTGACATATTAACCATACAGCAGGTCAACAAATCTGCAATCTGACAGTTAAACATTCCACTGCAGCATTC